GGGGGGGGCAGGCGACCGCGGGCTGGCCCAGCGCCACTCCTCAAATCCTGGTCGACCCGTGTCGACGCGCGCGCTTCGACTGCAGGCCGGGCCGGCGCGCCATAAGTGAAACTCCACGCCGCCTTGCCTCCACGCCGCTCCCCCACCCCCGCGTGGGGTGGGGCGGCCGCACCGTGGGGCCGCACCGCGGAGGTGGAGGTGGCGGCGGCCCTCGCCTCCCCCGGGAGGATCTGTTTGTATCCATCCTGCCCTGCCCCTCCGGCCCGGCCCGCTGCCGCTGCCGCATACGGCGGCTTTGGGCCGACCGACCCTCCCGACCCGACCCGTCCCGGCCGGGCCAATACCCTGCCTGTGATCTCCCCCCTAATCCGAGCGGAGCGGAGCCGAGTCGAGCCCGGCGGAGCCCGGCCAGCAGGTGAGGGTGGGACGCGGGCCGAGCCGAGCCGGGCGCAGCCGGGCCCAGGGGGTCGTAACGTGAGCACACACTCCGTCGTGTTATACACACTGCCTGCTGCTGCCGCCGCTGCCCGGGGTAGTGGGGGAGAGAATGAGAGTTTGAACGCCTTTCCTTCGCCACTCTGTGATCACTACTGCGCTGCTGCGCAAACTTCTTACATCCCGGGGAAAAAATCGCTCTGGTACGGACTGTGTGGAGCGAGGTAACGGCCCCGCTCGAGTAACACCCCCGCTGAGATCCTCGCCCCCCGCCCGGCCGCGACCCTCGCCGCCCCTTCCTGTTTACCGGCGCCCGGCTGCGGCCGGCGGGCCGAAACTTGCGCCCCAGGAGGAGGAGGGTGGGGCCCGGTAGGGGATGGGGTTGACTCGCCTTGTTTTGTCGGCAGCCGCCGCTGGAACCCATCAGGTCAAGGAGGGTTGGGGTATCGGCCGCAGCGGGCCGCCCGCAGCGAGCACGGGCTGGAGGCGGGGAGAGTTATGGTGTCAACATTTACAGTCCATTAGTTGGCGTTCTGATTAAGGGGACGGCGGCGAGGGTCCGCGGCGCTGAGCAGTGTGTGTGTTTAGCTGAGCTGATAGCGCCCCGAGGCGTTAGGACCGGGGAAATATTATCGAACCCAAAGAAGCCACAACCCCATGCAGTTGTGAATAATGCTAAAAGCACGACAACGTTTTGACATCAAAACCGTAAAAGTAAACGCCCACCAGTATTGCACCAGTGTTGTTAACGGTGGTGCCCCCGAGCTATTGCGCGAACGCCGGCCGGTCGCCCTTTCACGCGCGGCGTCTGCTGTCTCCTCCGTCTGAAGGTTCGGAGCGAGGCGACGCGAGAGGCGCGCGTTACCGTGCGTTGTGCGTCCCACGAGGACTGTCCGCGCCCCGGGTCCGGGTCCGGCACCTGAGTGCCCCCCCCCCCCCTCTGGGGCCCCTGGGCCTTGCGCCTGTTGGGCCACGCAACAACGCACTCTCACCTCACGGGCGATTTCCACCTCAAACCCCCTCACCTCGTTGCCTCGGTGCGCTGTAGTCCCTGGCTGGACGAGAGGCGAAATACATTTCCAAGATCTCATCTTCAGCACTACCACTCAACCACTCCCCCGACGTCCTGCACGTACAACTTTTGGTGTGAAGAGAGGCTACCGACGAGTCCTAGAGACGAAGGGATCTTCCAGAAAGTGCGTCCGTTGGGGGATCTCGGCGCCTGCGAGACTCGGGGTAGGCCACCCCGCAGAACACGTATGCACTGCAGGCAAGATGTTGCCTACCCACCAGGCGCTATGAGAGCTTGCCGATTCGTGCGAAGTTCCTAACGTCGTAACGGCGAATGACGGACGCACTTTCTGGATGGTTTCTATAAAGCCGTAACGAGCGCCGTTCAAACATCTGAGTCAAGTCCCGTCTCGTACGGCGGAGGCGGCATGCGCCTCGGTGCGCGTGGAGCGCGGCCCGCGCGGCCCTTCCCGACGGCGCCGCGCATGCAGCTTCACTCAACCGGCCGCTGAGTGTTGTGGTCAAGTGCGCCGCACTCCCGGCCTTCAATGCGCTCCCGGCCAGCAATAAAAAAAATAAAAACGTAATATCACTCGCGTATTTTACACTCTCCCGTCCTCCTTTCACCAACTTTTTATAATAATCTGCTGCCTCCTCCCTTCTTTTATTTTCGATGTCCGTTATTGCTCTTTCTCTTTAATATGGAGGGACAGTTACTCTGCCCCTCCTGCCTGTATTACATAACTCGTACAAGTTTTTCATA